CTGGAGCACTGACGATTAACGAAGTTCAGCGGGAGCTAAGCGCCACGCGCCAGAACATCGAGCACCTTCAGGATGAAGCTGTTGTTTTCCGCTCTCGTCTTGATGAAATAGAAGACCGGTCACGTCGTGACAACTTGATATTTCACGGCATTGCTGATTCTCCCGCTGAAGCTTGGTCGCTTACTGAAAGAAAGGTTGTCAATGTTCTTTCCGATCTGGGAATTCCTTGCGAAAACATTGCCCGCGCCCACAGATTAGGCTCTTTTTGTAAAGATAAATGTCGGCCTGTTATCGTCAAATTCGAGTCATTCAAAACAAAAGATAGTGTCCTTCAGTCGAGAGCTGCTATCAAAGGTAGCGGTTTATCGGTCAGTGAAGATTTTTCACCGGCGACACGCCAAGCTAGATCTAAACTAATTGATTTCGGAAAATAAAAAAATGCTGCGTTTAAACTAAAATATCACAAATTGCACATCAACAAAAAGATATACGCTTACGACTTCGCTAAGGACAACGTTTACGAGGTCGTTACCGCTGGCGCCGTGCGGCCAGTTCGTGACGAAGCCGAAAACAGCGGGGCTTCAGCATCGACCGGGGCGACGTCCAGATAGGATTTTGGGGGGATTGGTTCAAGCCGCTGCCTCAAGGCACGTGATGTTCCTTTACTCTTTTGCAATATTCGGAGCGTCATGCGCTGCCGAGACGATCTTAGTTCAATTATTGATTCTTCTGACTGTGAAATTATTTTGTTAACTGAAACATGGCTATCTAGTAGAATTTCGAGCAGTGAAATATTTACGTGCGGTAAGAAATTTAACGTATATCGGCAGGATCGAGGTGAAAGAATGGGTGGTGGAGTTCTTATAGCTGTGGCCGATGGTATAGTCTCAAACGTTGTCGATGTTTTAACTGACTTGGAAATGCTTTGGGTCAGCGTAACTGTAAACTACAAGCAATTAATTTTGGGTGTGTGCTATCGACCACCCAACGCTTCGTCTTCCTTTTGTGAACAATTACATGATTCGGTTAATGCAATCGTTAGTCGGTTTCCTACGTCACAAATTATTCTCCTCGGTGATTTTAATTATCCTAGCATTAAGTGGTCTACTACGCCACCTACTGTCCACCCATTTTCATCAGAAGGGAATGATTTCATTAACTTATGTTCCGAGTTCAATTTTTCTCAACTAGTTGATCAACCTACACGAATTACTTCTACCTCCGCAAATATTTTAGATCTTGTGTTGACAACATGTCCAGACTTAGTATCATCTATTTTGTACCTGCCTGGTTTGAGCGACCACTGCTTGCTACATATTGACTTAAATATACCTTTACAAGCTACTTCCAATACTATTAAAACAATACGGGATGATAGTAAAGCAAACTTCAATACTATTAACTGTGAATTGGCATTGTTTTTAGACACTTTTCTAAGTGGTTTTTTCAGGCGTTCTGTTAACGAAAATTGGAATATATTCAAACTAAAAGTAAATGAGCTCCTTGAGTCGCACATCCCACTCAAAAGAATTTACTCGAACTCAAATGCACCATGGTTCACTAGAACAATCGGGAGACTTGGAAACAAGAAAAAGCGTTTTTTCCGCGCCGCTAAGCGCAAACCCACAGCTGACCGATGGGACGCATACCATGCCTCTGCTGATTTGTACAGGGCAGCTGTGTGTAGTGCGAAAAGTACTTACTTTAATTCTACATTACCGTCTATGCTAATTAATAACCCCCGTCAATTCTGGAACACCACGAAAGAGAAAAGTAGTACAGTTGTAGAGCTCAGAGCCGATGATGGTAGCCCTATTTCTTGTGAAGAGTGTGCCAATGAACTCAATGCTATTTTTATCAGCTGTTTTTCTGACCTCCCTATAAATAATGATCAAACATACATGTCCTATGACTACCTCCCAATGTGCCCCATATCAATTAGTCCTGAAGGCATTGTAAACATAATCGATTCCCTTAAACTATCCTCATCATGTGGTATAGACTGTATAAACTCCAAGTTTTTGAAGAATACTAGAATGTACTCCTCCATTTTTCTTGCGAGCATATTTTCCCAGTCTTTAGAGCAAGGTATTTTGCCAGACGACTGGAGGGTAGCCAAGGTGGTCCCAGTTCACAAAGGAGGTGATAAATTCAACCCTCGAAACTTTCGCCCGATTTCATTGACCAGTGTCCCAAGCAAAATTTTAGAGCATATCATTTATTCTAACATAGTCAATTTTCTAGAATCAAATAAGTTTTTTTGCCCCTTCCAGCACGGCTTTCGAAAGACATTCTCATGCGAAACACAACTTGTATCATTCACGCACGACCTTCATTCTATCGTTGACGTTTGCTCCAAAGTAGATTGCGTATTTCTAGACTTCTCTAAGGCCTTTGATAAAGTGCCTCATACCTTGCTCTTGTCCAAGCTTAGTAAACTGAATATTGATCAGGCGGTTCTCACGTGGATACAATCATTTCTAACGAATCGTAAACAATTTGTCAGCGTAAATAACAGAAGCTCTGCTATGGTATCAGTAACATCAGGTGTTCCTCAAGGTTCTGTGCTCGGTCCGTTATTATTCCTTATATACATTAACGATCTACCCTCTCATGTATCCTCAAAAATGTCTTTATTTGCTGATGATTGCGTTATTTATCGAGAACTTACTAATGATTCTGACTCTAACATACTACAAAACGATATTAACTCTGTTACAAACTGGTGCGACTCATGGTCTATGGTACTAAATTCCAGCAAATGTAAGGTTATGAGAGTGTCCCGTTGTACTTCATCTCAGCCCCATTATACGCTAAATAACCATCCCCTTGAATTAGTTACGGTCTATAAGTATTTAGGAGTTCATATTACATCTGATTTATCATGGAGGACTCATATTAACTACATCATTAACAACGCTAATCGCATGCTAGGTTTTCTTAAAAGGAATTTTTTTTAGCACCCCAGTCTTTGAAGCTAATTCTTTATAAAACCCTCGTACGATCAAAGCTTGAATATGCATGTTCTGTTTGGGACCCTGGTCAGTCTGTACTAATCGATCTGATTGAAGCCGTCCAAAATCGTTCAGTTAGATTTATATTTTCAAATTACCATCGGACTGCCAGCGTAAGCACTATGAAATCTAATCTTTCTCTCCCTGAATTATCAACCCGTAGGAAAGTAGCCCGTCTCAGTTTGTTTCATAAAATTTATTTCACTAATGACACGCTGCGTAATAATTTAATTATACCTCCTCTTTACGTTTCACCTAGACTTGACCATCAACACAAAGTTGGCATCCCATATGCTCGCACCAACGTCTTTCACCATTCCTTCATACCGTCTACATCCTTTGACTGGAACCACCTGGCTGCATTCGTAGTCTCCATCATAGTTCATGTTCTTTTTAAAAAAGCCTTGGAACGCATTTTTTTCTGATCTTCACTGATTGTATTTTCCTGTGTATCTGTGTCCGTGTTTTTTTTTTTAACTCATGCAACCACTTCCCCCTCTGTAATGCTCATGCCCTGAGGGTAAAATAAATAAATAAATAAATAAAAGCCTACCTCATCAATAACATGGAATCAGTTCAGCGTCGAGCATTACGTTTTATTTACTCAGATTATTCTTCTTTTATTAGCGTCACATCTCTTCGAACCCGTGCCAACCTCCCCCTCCCCTGTGTACGCCGCCGTTTAGCTCGGTTATCTCTTTTTCACAACTTTTTTTTACAGCCCGTGCCTCCGATTATCATACATCGTTCTTTCTGTACGCCGCAACCGTCGCACGGGTCACAATATCGATGTACAGCGACCAAAGGCAAGAACCACCACATGTCAGAACTCATATTCTTCACGTACAGCCTCTGATTGGAACGGGCTCTCCCAGAACATTGTAACTACTCATGACTCATTAGAATTTAAAGAATTGATACGTGCAATCGCGTTCTAGGTATATTTGGTGTGTTTTTTTGTTGTTTTGTTTGCATACTAATTTTCTTGACGATTTTGTTTTATTTTATACGCATAATTTGATTTTGTGACATTTGTACCCTTTTGTTGGTGTTTATTGTATGCCACCCTTTATATAATACCCCCTACGGGGGTCCTTAAGGTATATAAATAAATAAAATAAAATTTAAAATGCGTTTGTTCACAACACTGCAAGTACCGCAGCTTATTTATTTCAATTTATTTTTAACCAGCTTAAATGAACAAATAAATGCTAGAAGACAGTCCAAATAGTAAGTTTTCTTGTCCTTTTTGTCAAGAATGTGTTAAGATGAATTATTTTGCTATATTTCGGTATACCCCACAATATCCAAAAGTATACCGGGGAAAAGAAGAAAGAAAGAAAGAAAACCTATCCGGTTTGCTAAAATCTGCTGTCGACGGTAAATAAAAAATAATGATATTTGAGGATTTAATAAAATGGACATTTTGTTCTTTTCTGTACTTGGAGCGCTATAGTTTGTTACAGCATAAAAATTCACGATTTCTCCCGCTTTTGCCTGCTTTTTGTATATAGCAACATATCATCCTTTCTAACTGCGTCTCCTCCTTAACCCTCCCCCTGCTCCCCGCTCCATTTATTTGAGACCTTACGACACAAAACAATGCAATATTTTTTTCATTTTATTCCATATCACATACCCTTGAATGTAATGCAGATAAAGACCACAAAGGCCAATGTTGGATTCTCGTGGGGCTCGACGGAACGTCTGTTTATTTATTATGTAGTCACCATAAACACCAAACCACACTAATTTTATCATAAGTAGCCGTAGATTCTTAGAGCATGTATTTACAAAGCATGGGATGGCATATTTAAATTTCCTACGATTGGTTTGTAAACTTCTGTCCTCAAAAAGCGTCAACGATAGTTACGCTTAAACATAAATTGGGGCAAGCGCAACTAAGGCAATGACGTGGAGTTAGATTTAAACTAGTCGCAACACTATTTGGAACGTTGATACTCGCATTTCCACAGATACACTCACCTTGTCTACAAACTTTCTTAAATATTTTTCTATTTGATTTTTATCTTTTAATTTATTTTTGTGTTGTTCACCATACGCGATGTACAGTTCCAGGTACGCTGAGCTACCAACAGATATTCCTGCAAAGCAGACGATGGTACCATATTAAAGCAAGACCAAGCAGTTTTGTCTACGGCTGTGATTTTGTAAAAAAAGGAATATAAATTGTCATAGTTTTGTAGTGGATTCGTTGCCATGTTATCACAAATCGGGAATGGCTTAATTTATAAATATAAATGAAAATTGACCAATGGTCAGTTTGTACTCGTACAAACTGTTACATCTGACCACTAGCACTTGCCGGGCTATGGGGGGAGTAAACTACGTGGCTTATTTGAAGCAAAAAACGGCTTTGTTGTTTTGTTTATTATGCATTAGTCGTGATCATGTAGTACAGTTACCGGTATTCATTTATAGGAAAAATAAACGGATGTATTTCGGTGTTTATTTATTCCTAAGATGGTGTGTTTCGGTGACCTGCTTCGGATGAACACTAAAAAACAACAGTGATTTTAGGTAAAAACGCTCATGGCGAGCTAAGCATTCTAGAAAGACAGTCCTAGCTGTAACAAGAATTTCAAGAAATCGGCGTGTTTAGCCTTAATGTTATTTTGTCTTTTTGACACCAACGACCGGTTATCGCTGGTTTTCTGTTTGAAACGATTTTGCACTCTTGATACCCACGGATGTTTGTCGGTCCTTTATGGTTAAAACGAGAAGTCTACGGCTTAGTCATGACGTACAGGCCAAATACATAACCGTTGTTTTTCTTCACCATCTCATATAATAAAACAGAACTATATTTTAATGCGGAAGTATAGCTATCCCATGGAGTGGAGGCGTTGGCGTCTGTAACCGCGAAAGAACGCAAAAGAAATGCCCATTTTCCCATTGGCTGAACGAAACTTCCCCTAGATGGCCCTTGGCCGCTGTTTCACGACAGCGCGCGCTCGGCCGCCACTCTTGTGTCCAGCGATCCCGGAGGTGAGGAGGGGGGGGGGGGGGGGGGGGTTTGCTGCGGCCGCTTCTGCTCCTCTGGCCGCCGACGAACAAGGCGGCCCCTGAGGCATCTATGTCGTCGGCGGCCGGAACCTCAGCAGTTGCGAAACGTGGCCGTCCACGCCAGTACACAACAGATCTCAAGGGAGCTAAAGAATGACATTCATGCTTTCGCATTCACAACTCATAAGAAGTGGTTAGGTGTCCTCGGAGTTTTTATAGCTCGTGTCTTCAAGCGTGTGTTTCTACATTTGCCGTGATACATGTGCAAATCACTATTATATCATGTTGATTTACTAAAACAAATGCCTTTTCTTAGAAATAAGAATACAATCAAAAAGATGTTTTAAAAAAAGCTGGTAAATATTTCACTAATTTGCTTATAAACCTCTGAACCCTAAAGAATAAACGTATTTTTTCTTGAGTCACACGAAAAAAAAGGTGTCAATTGAACCACCCAATTTTTACTTTTTTAAAGGGTAGTGAAGCAATTTGTTGAAAAAAACAATTTAAGAACAGGAGAACTGTCAGAGCGGCGTTGAGGAATGTGACGTTTAGAGCTCTGGAACAAGTGTGTTGTACCGTATTCCGCAACTTCATGCTCACTTTTTTAACCATTGTAGTTTTCTGATTCGGTGGTAAAAACCTAAGGTTAAATAAATTTTAATATTAAAAAAAAAATTACCACCTCGGTCGGTTAACTGCTTTTTAAATATTCCGGGTTTTCTTCTTTTTTTTTTCTAAGTCATTGCAGGTGATTGAAGGAAAAACGGTGAAGGCCCGTGCAAATGCCGTTGTCGAAGCTTGTTTTTTTTTTCGGAAACAAGTTGTTTTTGTGTTTTTAATATTTATTACTTGAGTACTCCTCGTAGGCTGTTTCTGTCAAAATTAAATGAAGTAGGCATAAATGTGTTGTTTGAAGCCGTTTAATTCGCATTGCGTTACTTCACAGTGGGACGTGTGCATATCATTTCTTTTTCAGGACTTTCTCTCACACTGAAATTGAATGTCGGAAGTGCATGTAAGTGTGCCGCTAAAGTAAGATTTTTGTCTGTAAAGTCTAGCCCTTCTGCTGTAAGGTCCGCGGGGAATGGTGAAAGGAGAATTTTAAGAAAAGTATTGTGGCGACAACAATGCCCAGGCACTAGCACGCACTTTAAACTCTCGAGAAGCCCCGCATGGTGCATGTGGAACCTTTCGAGAGGTGAACGTGCTATCAAATGATTCGGTGTCGTCTTGCCTTGATTAACGCTACACGGTTAGATTCAGTAAACATTCATTTATGCCGGCAGCACATTTCTGTAACAGCTTGTGCTATGCGTTTGCGTAATGCTGTCTATTACATGGTCAGTTCCCGTCAAACAAACATGACTACTATACGGATTCACACATAAAGTAACTGCTTGCCTGGTGATCGTTCTATAATTTCAGAATTGTTGTTGTACATATCAGGAATTACATCCAGCGACGTCACTAAAAGAACAAGAACAAGGTATCAACTTAATTATTCTTCTCAATGAGAAAAACTGGAGGGAAAACTAGTAATATGTTAATTGATTTTCCGACATCACAGACCTAGATCTTAATTTGAAAAGACCTATATTTTATTTCTATGAATCTGATGCCCTCAATATAGTAAAAAGAGTCAGTGCATTATAATACCTAAGTTCATTGTTTTTACGCGATCCTTGACGAACGCTGAGATCTTTCTTGCTTTAACATCCTAAATTCATTCTTCAAGACTATGCGCACACAAGACAATCTGGCACGATTTTTCCGGGATATCGTGTTTTAAACTACTATTACGACTGCATATTTTCTCCACAGGCCGTCCCAAACTGTCACGCTGGAAGCTAAGCTTTTATGCAAGAAATAATTGAAACGCTGTTTGATGTCTAACATTTCTACACGATATATGTAGGTTTAAAAGTTTACACCCCTTTAAAGGGTTTATTTTTTAAACAAAACGCCTACTCTCGTTAGCAATCAGCATTATTTATTCTCAGTGCAATCCGGTCGATACGTTTTGATCAGGAGAAAGTCTATCTTTGAAACCTTGCAACAGCATCGTGTCTTATGGTACAAAATAACTTAATTTAACGTTCATAGACTTCACGCAGTAAAGTTTGGTGAGGTCAGAGGTTTTTATAAATATGTCAAGTATGTAACGTTCATTCTGTACTAATTAACGGCAATGACGCAGCTTGCTAAAAATTACCAGCTTCTGGGGGCGATGCCGCAATTAAACATCGTTCGTTTTTTGTTAATGTTCTGGAGAAATTGTAAAAAACAATACTGAGAACATGGAACATCCTCACTATTTGCTCAAAATCAATTGTATATCCCTCTGCTTACATCTACATTAGGTGACACTACACAACGCACTTCTGCACATCAATGTTAATGAAGAAATTAGCTGGAAGACACCACCTCCTCATGGAGAATGAGCATTACGTTAAGCATTCTTATATGTTCCTGAACATGCTACGCTTCCAGTTGATTATTATGCAAAACGCTGGGATTGGGTCTTTTCGTCCTTTGATCCAAAGTAGGGATATGCGAATATTTGAGTTTCGAATTCCAATCAAATAATAGTTCTCTGAATAGTTCGATTTAACCCTCGAATTTTTAGTGCTCGAATTTGTTTTTTTATGATAAGATTATACGAATATTAAGTACTATTAACACAATAAGGTTTAGGGCAATAAGGTTCAAAAACGCTGCTGATATGCAGAAATGCCCTTGCAGGCTTGTGTTGGGTCTAAATCAAGCATGTATTCAGCAGCTTTGACAACGAACAGTATGAACAAAAAGTAGTTTGTTCCTTCTGTCTCTCGAACAAAGCAATCATGCTAAAAGCTTCTTCGATGCGCCTGACGAAAATCCAGAAACCTCGCACGGCGCTCTTTTGAGTTCAAGGATCTTGCGTCACGTGCAGCTATCTGTGTGCACTATAACCTTGCTGTCGGTTGCTACGTTCATAATATGACAAATTATATATTGTCAAACTACAAATGACTAAGATAATTTATTTGGTTTCTTCCGCTAACCTGTCGCTCCCCGGGGCGTCTAGAGAGATACCAGTGCTATGAAACAAGGTGTCGCCAGATTAAAACAGATCAGCCATATTTGTAAATGTATCCACTGCGCTATGTATCCACACATGGATAACTCGTTCAACTGTGATAATTAACATCATTTTTATTCGCGCTGCCCTCACTTCGTTCTGCGTTCCCTGGAGTAAAGCAGACATGGAAGTGTTTTTTTCATCTATGTGGCACTTTTGTTTTGTTTTGTGAATGTTGCGAACAATCACTTTGTTATTCGTATTCGACTCTACATCCAGCTTTTTTCATTATTAGGTCCTCTTTTGTTTGAATTCCATTCTTTTTGGAATTTCACTATCCGCGCTCCTCTACTGTAAAGTATCGACTCCTGGTAACTTCATTAATTATCTCAGTCTAAAGTAAGGGGCCCCTGCCAATAAGTGGTAACCGTATCTGTCCCTTTTATATATAAAATTCGAGGGTTTATCCCTGAGGCTTTGCGCCCATCTATTTGTTTCTTTTGATGTTGTCTCAATAATTTTAAAACATATTGAGTTCCTTTCCTGCTTTTCTGATATGTTGTTTTTTCTCCTTCAGATGTGTTGTCAGCTCCTTATGCGCGGAGACGTACACTGTGTAACGAGCCTACGTGCTACTTTTTTATTATCCTGGGATCATTCAGGAAGCCAATAACTGCAATCAACAGACCGCTTCCAGCGAATGACATGGCGGAACAAAGCAGTTCGGCTAATCAGCGCAATTCCAATAAAATAACACCACGAAGTCTCGATGGTGCATCGTAAATGAGCAGCTGGATTTTCTGTCGAACCTTTTCCGGTGCGCCGTCTTTCAGTGTAGGCGCGTTGGGTAACAGTGATAAGCCCCAGAGTGGAAACAAACCGTGCTCTTTTAAATCCAATAGATCAGACTTATTTGATTTAAATCAGGTTAGTTAGATTTAAATTACTGTAGCTAAAATAGTGATTATTTTCCATTAGATGTATTTCTAACATGGCAGGTTAATTAGTCAGTTCGTTCGATCACTGATCACAACATGGTATTAAGAGTTATGCTAAATGTAAATTAGCTCACTAATTGGATGACAGATACTATGATCAATGATCCAATGTTCTCAGAAAAGCACTTCTCTTTGCTCATGTTCAACCTTATATAAAGTTTTCTTTCTTCGCGATTTTTTTATTTAAATTCAAAACAAATGCACATAGAAAGCATCAAGTAAGAAACAACCGGTAAATAAAAATATATTTCGGGATTCTTTTGTGGAGAGGTTCGACTTATATCACTTTCGAGTTCAATCCCCATTTAAATCATAATTTAAAGCGCGATTTTAGTCGTATTCATTTGTTATTCTCCACTCGGATTGGTCTTCCATGAGCTTCTAGAAGTGGAATATCGGAATACATCTTTTAAGCGCTTATAGACCAGGCAAAATATGTCGAGTCATTGGGCTCTGGGGGCATGTTAATATTCCATTTTAATATTCCACCGACGATACCGACAGTGCACGCTCAGCACGCCTTCCACCGGCCAATAAAAAAAGATGGCTGTGTGTAGAACGCTATTTTCGGAATGTTTTGCACAACATGAGTGGCTGCCTGTTACAATACTGCTCTCTCTCTTTGCCGACTCAGTTATTATTGATACACTTTTATCAGGTGACGGCTTGATTTTCAAGAACAGGACAACATCTAATGTAATAATCTAAAGGGAGCACACGAGACATTCTTTGTTACGATTATTCTGTGATGGTAGCCGCTACTACGGTGCCGTACTAGTACGAACAGGCCGAGTTTCCCAAGCGTCCAAACATGGCGAACTCTCGTGATTGCGAACTCTCTTCTATGTGCCTTTCTGACTTGTGTTTACTTTCTACTGGTCCACAACGCTGTTTTTACCCTTGCCGTCTTACACTAGCATCAGTCAATACCAAATGTCTCACAGAGCTTCAATGCACTACAAATTAATCACATGACTCTGGAAATCACTACACATTTGTTGCATACTAGCTTGCAGTGAGTAAGGCATCAAAAATCCTGATCACAGATTATACAAGTCACAGAGCATTGCACAACCGTTCCTAAAGGGGTATTCACACGAGGGAGAAATCCCGGGGATTTCTCCCCGGCACGCGCATCCAACGACGAAAACGTCAGGCTTTGCGATGTGCAAAAGCCTCGCGTTTTTATCTCGTGATGCGCGCGTGCCGGGGAGAAATCCCCGGGATTTCTCCCTCGTGTGAATACCCCTATAGGCGTCCACTTAGAACAGAACAGAAAGCGCTCGTCTAAGCATTTGCCAGACTTCAATAGGCATGCCGCGAGACATCGAGAGAAAGTTGAATAATGAAGCTTTCAGTGAAAGGCTTACCATACTCTAGGGCGCATAATACAAGGAATGCTCTCAGCAGAACCATAATCAATATTGGTTGATCCTCAGCGGTGGAACGAAGACACTTTTATGGCCTTATATATATATACACGTACTATTTTGAGATTCAGTATTTTTTGGATCAGATTTAGAGTGTTTCTCGCTTGTCAGCGTTGGAGAGGTGTCTTACGCTCTTGGAGATCATTGTTAGATAGTTTTTTTTTAGTATGCCCTTTTCCTATTACAGCTTCACGGGTCTAACAACAGTACCAAATCAAATGCCTTGTTACACGAGTAATATTTTGTTCACATTGTTAATAAAGTTCAGTGCATTTTGACGGAAGGATGAAAAGGTGGCTTCTCGTAAATTATAGAGCACTTTATTTGTGGTTGTTCTTAACTTCAGTATAACGGGTTAAATTAAGTGATCATATAAAGACAGCGAGCAATATGTCGTCATTATACCCAGTAGCTTAAGTGACCACATTACCACAGACTATTGATCCAGTTAGTCTAATGTTTTGCCACCTATTCTTGTTGCCTTTAATCAATTGTCCTCAACGATACCTTCGGGCTTACTGTGTCTATGCTTGATCGCGGATTGATACACGGTAATGAAAATGACTTAAAATGAATTGAATGTTTATTTTTATTATAGTTCAAGAGATATGAGTATGTTGATACAAAGGGAAGGCAGCGCCAATGAGCGTCAGCTGTGTCCTCAGCAGATGAGAAATTGTGTCAATGCAGTATGCTTGTATTGATAGCCTAAGGTCTTTAACGTGCGCCACCCAGTTGTGATACACGACCGCAAACCGGTACATTGCTGATCCAGATCGAAACGACCAGGGGTGGGGACTGGACCCAGGATCCCTGGGTTCGCCAGCGCGATCTTTTACTCCGTGGGTTCCGAGCTGCGGTGCGCGCACACACTCGCCGGACTATTCCCGCAGATCAAAAGGTCTCATATTCGCGTTTTAACAGATGGCAGACAACAATCGAAGCCGCGAGAAAACCCGTAGACGGGGGTTCCACAGAAGGGTAGACATAGGATAAAAGCAAAGAAAAGCGTCACTCTCCTACATGGAGGACAATGAAGGGTAAAGAAAACAAGTGAAAAGCTGAAGTACCGCCACAATTCTGCGTGTGTGACCTGATTGCGACAAGCTAACCTTAGAAATGTTGATATCAAAATCTAGCCAAAGCTTATTTTTCTTGGATATGAGAACATGATTTCAAGTCTAGATTCAAGAAACTAGGTCACCTTTGAAAGAAAAGTATTCGAAAGGGCATATGAGCACTAAAGTTTGGAAACAAAAACAAAAAGTAAAACCAACAATCTAAAATTGCAGAAAATTTGAAGCTTAACATTTTTTTATGACACTTTCTTCGAGAACAGTTTAAACGTGGGTATTCACTGTAAAAAAAAAAGGAAAAAAAGAAGAAAAAAAAGCACACCTTCTTTTACCAAATTAATATTTTTTCTCTTAGTGCCGTAATAGACCCTTCCTGAAATTGTTTCCGGCAACTGTGAGACGCTAGTTTTGGCGGCCTTGTAAAGTACGACAAGCAACGCTGGTTTGGAGGAAGAGTGGGGGGAGTGGCCATTGATATGACGTCCGTCGTAGTCGCTGGTTCTAGTGCTGCTGCTACCAGCCTTGTATGGGCTAAGAGTTTAAGTAATATCACGCAGGACTTCGAAGCCGACAAGGATGACGGGTACTACGCCGCCCGGAAAACGAGCGACCGTAACCGACGGCGTGGCTACAAGTTCGTAACGGAAAGTTACCTTGAGCCATCGTCGCTGGAAACGACATGTCTTAATCGGTGAGTTGACGATTCCACATTCGCGATCGCTGGTCGTTAAGTAGTCTACGGTTATTCTCTTTTAACGCCCGCATATTGCGTACGCAGGAATGCGACCGCCGTCGTGGTGCGCGGGCGGTGCTACCGAAGCCAAAGGAAGACCGGCAAGCCGTACAGCGTGTCGACAACGATCGCTGCGGACGGCTCTATTTCGGAGTGCAGCTGCCAGTGCGCCGCAAAAGAAGGCCTTTGTAACCACGCCTTAGCCCTGCTGAGGCTAATCGTGCTCCTCAAGGGGCAAGGGTAAACGGAAGCACCTCCCGAGGTGACGTGCACGGAGCTGCCTCAGCAGTGGCGTCGGCCCCGTGGTTCGCAAATCTGTGCTGCCAGCGTCGCGGAACTGGATTGGAGAAGTGCACGGTAAGGAGGACCTTCAAAGGCACAGGGGTCAAGGCTGTACGACGCCAGAAAACGACCAAGAGACCTGGCAGGCATGCAGCAGGCCATGCAGCGCGTGGGAAATGACCTCGACAACCTCAGGGACTCCCCTTTTGCCAAGCACCTGCGGACTGTGCAGGTGCTGGGCACAGCTTCGATGTTTGGACAAATCCCCGAGGGCAGCCCCATTTCCTACCAGCAACCACTCACGCCACACGAGTTTGTGGTGCATGTGAGCCCAAACATTGCTCCCTGCGGCAGAGATGCCTCAAGCACTGCACTGCCCAGCTGGCCAGTTCTTTTCCCCCTGTCAGACACTTTCGGGCCTGGTGCACGGAGCCTCAGTGATGCCGAAAGGTCACTTTTTAAGGTATTCTTCCAGCTTCCTTTATCGTCACGTTCCATATTCAGTGACCAAAGAGTATGATACAGTTCATGCCTTGGTGGATACTAAAATGAATTAGTATATATGAAATAGAGATATTTTACAATCTAATGGTAAAATTTGCATCAGTGACTACCTTCAATGAGACCATTAACAATAACTGAAAGTAAGGGTCATGGTACTTTTCTTGACCTATCCACTTTTCACCAGACAGTCCCTGCACAATCATAACCGCAAGTTACTGTATATGTTTTTGTTTCTATTGATTTTATTTTTGTTTTTGTTTTTTAGTGTCAAACAGAAATCCCGCAAATTTCTTTCAAAACCTCGGGTTGTATCCGTAATCTCAAAACACAGTGTCGCAAAAAAGAAATGGCAGAAAACAAGCTGGCATAGGAAGTCTGCGACAAGATGGTAGCGCCGCCACGTCTTGGCAGAGCTATATCTAACAGGATTGCTGGCTGCAACAGCGGGTAGCGAGCCCATTGCGTCCACGGTGAGCGGAACCCCGAAATGTCGAAAAACGAGGTTTTTCTTCGTGAACTGTGCACATTATTACAAAATGTTCCGCCCAGAACGAATCTTTTTAGTTTTTCGTCACACAAAATACTTCAAAGACAGGCAGTACTGCAGAAATCGGGAACAACTGAACCCTGTGTCAGTACTCGTCGGCTCAGTTGCTAGTACTAAAAGCCTCTGGTTTCCTGTCCAGCACTCGATGAGTAACCGACGAAGCTGCTTCATGCCAAACAAACAAAAGCCATGTGGCATGCACCAGTGGAGGACCACCTTTTTTGTAAGGGCACCAGGTCACCTCGGTTCCAACCTACTGACCAGGGACTGCTTGTCTATCGTCTTGCCTCGGGGCCACGGAGGTAGCAGTCAAAAAGGCAGGGACTGCTTGTGGTCAGCACTGGGAAAAGTAACCTAGCACAAGCCTCGAGGAGTAGGGTGCATCTATACCAGAGGGACTTTTATCGAGGCACCCTATCAAGGAGCAGTTTGGACGCCGCCTCCGATCTCTTTTGTAGTTACTGCAGCAACACATCGACACTAACCATTTTGCACTAGCGGTGAGACTTGAAAACACAGAGCCACTAATTCGCACGCAGGCGAAAAACGTGCGAACTCAAGAAGCTACCTCATCTTTATGTCCAGTTTGTCATACATTACTGCTGCGACAGCGAAAGCAACCAATTAAAATAGGAACGAAAACTATTTACGTTCAGTTTTGTAATCACAAGCATCCATGAATTTGTCAAGTAGTAACTGTTGAGCTGTCGGATAAACAACCAATTTGTAGAAGCATGTTCTGGTAAACCAGCGTGCCGCAATCTCATCACACAAAAACGCAAACAGATAAACAAAGGAACACGACGGAGTGAAGGGGGCTCCGACTCAATCCAGGAGATGCAGCGCTGAACGCATATATGTTTTCGAATGCCAAGGAGATGCTCTGACGCACACTGAGGACCTTGAGTGGGAAGACTTGTGCTGCGAGTCGTGGATGGAGCATGTGCGTACTACAAGTACAGTGAGCTAGAAGGGGTAGTGTGCCGTGCGGCGGCGGAGAGCGGGTCCTTTTTGCGATGACCGTTCCGCGCGGTACGTGGGGGCGCTGCTGGTAGCAGGAGCGCTGCGGGAGCCTATCAGATAGCTCTGCAAGCGGAATGTACGGCTGGTTTTCGTATCGCTGTGACGGCGCGGTTGATTATATCTGTTTATTAACTGCTGCTCTGCGTCCTTATGAAGAATTCTAGCGCTTCCGGAACGCACAGCCGCAGTTCTGTTGCGATAACGTGTGTGCCCAAGGACACGCCTGGTCGTAGTGCATTGTTACCGTTTTTACGAGGTCTTTTCCCATTTAGAAATCTTAACGAGTAGTATCCACCCTATGTAATACCCGAAAGGGCTTTAGCGTAAATAAATAAATAACTAAAAATAAATACTATGCTATAGGTTCAAAACACCTTTGGCAGAAATTTAGGCCATCGACTTATATTAATACCTTGACTCGTCAGTATTTAATCCAGTTTGCATTGCTTGGCGCACTTAACAGTTAGGAAGCTACCTGTGAATGCATCTGGGCTACTTTTGCTCTTCAGACTGGTCTCGCACAAAGAAGACACCGACAAAACAACCAGAACAGAATTATGGAATGCTTTATTTGTCATACAAATTTCTTCAGGCCAACCTTTCCTCCTTTTTGTTAGTCAAAAGAACGCGCCCCATTAAAAAACGGGCACTTGTCAGTCAAAGGCTCTATACCTGTACCAGGGCACAAAGCAAGATGGCTGACATTGTTGATTAATGCCTCCGCCTCTTGTCGTGTTGCGAGTATCTCCTGGCACAACTTTTTGCCTCGGATGAGAACATCAGCTGAGTTCCCCCAGCTTGCATCGTAACCTGCACCTGCT